TTTTCTAATATATTACAAATCAAGAGCAAAGAGTACCCATCTTTCACTATATACTTATTAAGAAGATGCATATTACCAATCACATGTAGTTGATCAGTACTACTGTCTTTCTTATTCACTAAGAAACAGTAGTAAGCGTATTGTCTCATCTCTTTTTTGAGCAATCTATTTTTTAACATTTCACGTAACTGTTCTTCGAATAATTAAGCTCAGGCTAGATTATTGATTCTAAAGGGCCATACTCTAATAACAAGAACTTCTTTTTCTCCTGTTCAAACCTTATATTCAATTAAATTCATTTTTCCCATCTCTAATAAGTCAAAGACAAAGAACTCAGAAACTTTTTCAAGCAAGCACCTTTCGAGATATTCTCGATCTTGGGCCAGAATTTCTTTATTTATATCAAGAGCGATCAGATTATCCTTTGTTAGTCACATGATTACTTCAGGTTAACCCTCATTTACACACATAGTCTCAGACTTATTTGCAGTGTTCCAATACACTACTTGTCTGCAATAGTACTGTGGTAATTGTTTATTATTAACTTGTTCGATTTCATGAACTTTTATCATGATCATATTTTTAGCATTATTGAATATTTCGATACATGAGTCATTTGGTTCATCTACCTGGACTCTTCTTATTATCATAAAGTCTGTATTATCATCATTGTCAAATTTTTCTTTGAAATTATTATTGTTCTCTTCAACAACCCATCTTTCAGGAACAACAGAGGTGATGAAAGACACATTCTTCGTCCTAGAGTTAACCGAGCACCAAAACTGTTTATCTTTTCATTTCAAGTTACACTTGGCGGCAGCTATCCAGAACATTCCCAACAGAATATCAAAGCTGGCCATTTGTATTACATAAAAATTTTGAACAACAATTATTCTGTCAATATCTACTTTAATATTAGATATATAACCAACAAAGTTACTAACCCTATTATCAGCTATTCTTCCCTTTCTTTAGCTAATTTCTATACAAGGCCTCTTTTATTAGTATAATTAACATACATAAAGTTTAAATGTGACTTAGAGTCGATAGGCATGTCGATTAATTTATTGTTTATTCTGATTGTTCCCATTGGGATGTTATCCACTTGTTTATTAGAATTGATTCGAACAGCCCTTACTATACTAACATTAGTATCTAACAAAACTATATCAGCTTCTCTTTTCTTCCTTGTTAGGGCCCTTAATATTTTCATACAAGCTTTTGGTAACTATTTAAAAAGCTGACCCAAGGTTACCATTATCTCAAGTTTGGCAATTTTCTTCAAGACGTCAAGTTCCTGGGTTAATTCAGTTAGAGGTATATATATTATAGTTTCTTTTGTTTAGAATTCTTAGTTGATAGGGTTCTCGTTAACTCTGTTTCTTTTTTCAGATAAATTGGATGCAGATTTATTCTCAGAAAGCTTATACTTTTTCAAATTATAATTTTTTACATCAAATATTAGCTTATCCTTAACTATTTCAATTTTAAGATACTCATCACCACTATCAGGTGAGGCTTTAGTTATCTCAAAATATTAGACGCTAGCTTCTTGTATATTGATACTTTCCAGATTGGAATTTCTTGCTTCAATACTTTGATTAGTAGGTGGATTGGGTGGGCTCTTGCCAGACAATTTCATGATATGTGGTTTTCTTGGTCACAATTATAATATCTATGCAGATTGGTTTGATTAGACTGACTATTTGGTGATAGATAGGTGAGATTTTGCCTTTGTCACCAATTTTCTTGTATGTTTCTTGGTTGATTTCGGCTGGGCTGGTTTTGTTGGTTGGGATTGGATTGACTTTTATTGTTGGCTATGTCCTTAACAAGCTTGGTAAGTTCATTAATAGTAGATTCCAACTTATTAATTCTTTTAGCAGCCTTTTTACCTTGACTGGCCTAACTAACTTGACGAATATTTAATTTCAAAAAGGCACCAGCCAGGTCATCAATATCAGGATTCATCTGGTAAGTCAATTCTTCTCCTATTACGTTGGCTTCTTCAAGTTGAATTTGTTACTTTTTTTATACTTCTTGAACTTGATTGCCCAGTTTTTTGTTTCCTCATAGGTCTTAAAGTAATATTGCTTTACTTTTTCTCTGTATTTGACCGGGAGGCCTCTGAGATACCAACATTTTACTTCATGATTACTAACTTCATTTTTTACTCTTTTTGCACAGACGTCAAATCGGTTGGTATAAGAGATAATATTTTTATCCTCATTTAGTTTGAGGTTCATTAGACGTTCAATTTTCATCTCAACATTATATTTCGATTTTACAGTTTTTAAGATAGCAGCCTTTACATCTTTTTAGGAAGTGTTATTTTCTACAATATCCCTAATCCAATCACACAAAGGTTCTGCAATATGCAAGCCAATTACAAGTCTTATTTTTGTTTCGTCTTAATCTTTTATAGGGTATATCCCTCATAGTCAATGACGAAGTTCTCAATAGATTCACTATTACTTTTGTAATAAAATGGCTTTGTTAAGTCTTTTGTAAACTTTTTTTTTGTTGTTGACTCAGTCGTATTTTCTCAACACAATGCAGATCTGGCTTTTGCTCACTATTATTATATTTATTTTTTTTTGTTACAATTAATGGTTTGGGTAGTGGAGATATACAGAAAAGAAACAAAAGTATGTTTAATTTGTTAGTGCTTTTATATTATGCTAATGA